GGAACTGGTGCAGCTACGCATGAGACGAGCCGACGCCTCATCAGGTCGGCTACGAGATGTGAATCCACGAACTGTAGGAGGACATGAGATGGTCAGAGGAGGACGATAAGCTTATTGTGGCAGAGGGACCAAACAAGCGAAAAGAATCAAGGTGTCAGCCCATGGCAGGCGCCTGCACCAATGAAGGGCTCTGCAGAGCACGTCTCCAATCTCAGGCGCGTGCCTTTCCATTCCGACCTCGTCATGCAAAAACGGCGTTGGCCCGTTGCCCGGCCCCCCCACGCACACCACAACGTTGAACTGATCAACAGTATGCCACTCACGTATTAACGGGAGCCTCATTGCCCAGAGGGCCGCTGTTCGGAGACCTAAGCCGAGCCATGACACCCTTTTCGCATCGATATCCACAATTCCTCAAGTTTCTCGGCCGTCTTTGGTTGCGTACTTCCATTTCCGCAATCAAGGCCCGTTGAGGCTCAGCCTTGCAACTCAATGGTTCGCTTTCTTTGAGAACAATCAAGATACCGGCGGGCAGTGCTATGGACCCCATCGTGGTCCGAGCAAGCCATTATGTCGCGGCTGCGGCGTCGTCCGCCTATTCTTTATGAGGGGTTAACGACGTAAGCGAACGGGCCATGGAGAGCGTCTCTTTCGATTTCGCACCAAGGAACGAGGGTCATCCAAAGCAAACACACCCCAGAATGCCCCCCCACTGGCGTTTAAGGACCGACCGAGACCTGGCCGAGGAGTGCGGAATTGGCAAATGCTGAAGAATTGGCGAAGAGAAAGTATTGGCCGACTGACAGGACCCTGCAAACACGGATGTGGGCACGCCCTGGTCGCCTTTGCCAGAGACCGGCCCGGGCACGAGGGCGTGAGCCTATCGCCCGAAGAAAGCTCAGAAGCACGCCCTCCCACAACCCCTCCAACCTTTCTCCCCACCACTACCACCACCATTACCACTCTAGGTATAGCAGTTGATGTAGTATTGAGGTTGGGGTGGTCGTTCACCCACAATGACGAGGTCTCATCGCTACTCCGCGAAAGATGGCAAGATGGTGCGTGGCTGTACTCAGCGACCTCGCACAGAAGCAAGGCTAGGTCTGAGCGTACATGCTGCAGGATTGCTTGCAGCAACACCACTAGGAGGTTGACAATGTGCCCATACTCGGACTTTGGCGTTGCTCAGACGAGAAGCTTGCCCGTGTTGAGATGGCCAGATTCAAAGGAGGGGGGAACAACCAAGCAGCATGTGCCCGTGTCTTCATACCTGCTTGCGGACGGCATTCTTTGAAGCAAGTAAGAAATGTCACGAGCGTTGAAGAATGTTTCTCCATCAGGCTCTTCTTCTCTGCTTGTGGCGAGCAAGCGGGCCAATGGAGGCAAGGCGCTACTTGGTGGCTCGTGGTTCATGGTCGCGCGTGCTAGCGTCACATGCTGAACGGTTCCATTATCAGACATGCCCATCGTGGGATGATCTTACAAAGGAGAAGAAAATCGCGAACGACATGCCGGCTATAGAGGGCCGAAAGACATGGTGGATTGGAGGGGTACATCGGGCTACAAGATGCCTACAATCTAACCCGTCGCTGCTGACGCTGCTACATCATGACAGACGCTTGATGGAACTGATGCCTGGTTTAAGTCCGCTCGGCTCTCCACGTCGGTGTTTCCTCTTCAGTAGATGAGGCCGCTGGAATGGTGAAGCCTCGCCGCTGCTTCGCCCGCCGTGTCGAGCTAAGGCAATGTAGGGCATGCATGTCTCCGATGTGACGGCCGCGCTTATCTAGGCCAAGCGACGAAGCGAAGCGGATGAATGTGGAAGCAAAGTAACACACAGACCTTTCGTCAACCCATCTCGAACACGGTTTTCCAAGCAGATCTTATCTTTGCATTTTCCAATCGCTTGTGCCATCCCGCACGAGACGGAGGTTGGCAGAGTTTCGTGCCATGGGCCATGGAGACGTCTTCTTTGGTATGGGTTGCGTTGAGTGGCTTGTCGCGCTTGCCAAATCCCCGCGGGGAAGGGGGAAATTGGCGATGGGGGCTGGAACGTGGGGTAATGGCACTGACGCAACTTTTGAGCCGCTGTCGATCATTCTTCACATGCTTTCTTTTTCCTTGCCGTTTGGCTTGGGCAGGAGAGGAATAATTTCTTCTTTTGCCTCCCCTATCTCCCGGTGGGTGTACCGATTGACTGGGTGCGTTCGGACTTGCACATCACGACCCCAAGTGGGGACCGGCACACCACCACCACCACCACTGGCTGTCTTAGTCGAGACCCAGGCATCGGCGTCGAACTTGATTTAGTGTTTGAGATGGGGTCGTTGGTTTCTCTGGCTCAGCTTTGGTTGTGGCTTTGTGGCTGCGTTGCTGCAACCTCGCTCCATGTCGGCGCCGATGCTGGGCCGATTACATTGGGGTTAACTCCCGAGACGAAAGCATTACGCAAAATGCCTCACAGAGCTACCTAGACATGTGAAGCAGAGAATTAATCCGGGCGGGTGGGCTTTGGCTTGAGTTGCTCTGCCTGATGCTGGCATTAGTTTGGATCTGTCTTTTCGTTTCTCCTGTCTCTGCCTGCGGATTGGGTCTGTTGGACGGATGGAGGGGTCTTGATGTCGACGTTGCATAACGAAGCTGAGGAGTGTCGGCGTCACCACATGTCAACGGCTTTTGCCTTTTAAGATATCGTAAAGCTTTTTCCGTCCGGTTCATTCCCGTTGGAGGCGGGAACGGCAGCCCCCCGGGGTCACGGTTTCCTTAAGCGCCGCAGCCGTGTTCTCGCAGGTCTAGACCCTGGCTGGATTGAGAACGTGTCTGTCGCACGACATGACGGGCCGTGGCTTGGTTGGAGGCTTAAATTCTATGTGACTCCAGTATCGGCAGGAGTTTGGACAACGGTTGTGGGAGTGTAAGTTTTATCATTATCGGCAGAGTTTGGCGGGCATGTGGAATCTTGGGGTGATGAGTGTTGGGAGAGGGGGGGTGGGTGGGTTGGTAGGTAGGTAGGTTCGATGTAGACGCGAAGCTTTTGGGGGGGTGTTCAGCTGGACTTGTTACTTTTGTGATGTGTTGACTTCTGTGTTGGTTTTGAAGGAGTATCAGTCTTTTTGAAGGATCGCAGCTTTATGAGGGATCGTGTGTGTTACTGGGTAGAGTCGTGCCCCATCTTCTTTGGGAGTTTCGATTTGATTTTGTCAAGATACTTTGAGAGAGTATGTATGAAGGTCTCCGTGCTTATTACCTGATTGTTTTCTGATGGATTCAAGCTTCTAATTGTTGACAGCCCTCTGCAAGATTTTGGCATTTGACGAGGATGATGTCGAGGAATCTCCTTGTGATGAACCAAACCCTCTATGGCTTCCTCACGTTTGCCATACCTGTCTCAAGTGCGGTCTGCTGGTTTAGGTCTATAGTATCAGCAAGCAACAACTCCCAATCATTCCAAAGTAGTATCGTGTGCAGGACGATGTATCCTCGAGATTTCCAGTAGCGGATTCGTATACCGGAGTCAATAGTGTCGTTTACTTCGAGAAGAAGGGGTAGGGGTCGAGCGTGTATTGCGTGATGAGGCTTTTGGATTGAAGAGGCTCTCGCGAATGCCATGTCCATAGTCTCCGGGCAAGATTCGATGAGTGTGTATGTGAAGCTGCGAAGCCATCTCAGGTCAACCTCCAGCATCTATAAAATGAAGATTTGTTGCTATTAATGATGCAAGGCAGCACCGCCATCATTAAAGTATGGCCAGACGGCCTAGTTTGAAATTTCTTAGAACCGAAGAACCGGCTTGTGGTAATGTTACAACCTACCTGTCGTCGACTGAGCTCAGACAGAGTATTTCTTTTCTTCGTTACTTTCTGGCGTCTACCGATTATACTGAATGAATACTTGTTCATTGCGTTCCAAGTCTCGCTTCCGGCCGTCAGGCATGTTTCTTACTCAGAAACCATGAAGGTTTGGATGCCCACACTCCACCAGGAAATAGATCTCGCAAACTCATTGTGTCCTAAGAAGAAAGGAAGACAAAACTTTTCATGTGTGCCAGCTGGTTTTATACGTACTGTAAGGAACAAACTCTCGTATTTGCTGGAGGTGTGATGGGTCGGAACAGTGAGAAATGGGGCCCAGAAAATAATTCTGTGGCAATTTCCAAAGGATGGCGCGTTTTATATAAGTGTGGGGGGCTCGCAATGTCAGACGTCAAGACAATGACCTGTTGGCCGAGATAGTTCCTTGTGAAGTGGCAGACCGTCCGACATAGATCAGTAGGTGTCTTGAACGCCAACGTGCAGTTAGTTAAGATGATCTCATACCAACGTTTCAGTTGCCATATCTGTTTAACTTGGGTTATAAATGCTTATATCAGTGTGTTATATGCGATATAGGTGTCTATGATCTGTTTTAGACTTGGTGTGCCTGAGTGAAGTCGGCTTGATCATAAAGCACGCGTGAGTGATGTTCAAAGCACTTCTACTCTGACTGAGGGGACGAATTCTTCCCCTTCATCGCGAGACAGTCTTGATGTTTCTTTGCATATGAACCATCATCTTTTATGCTACTGGAAGCCTGAGGACTTGCTGGTGAGTGGTTCCATATTCCTTGCCTTCAGAGCTGAAAACCAATATTCGAGTCACGGTTCTGCTCCATACCAACTGATGGTGATTGTAGGCGCCGTATCTGTGATCGTACTTCACATTCACTGAAGGCTGTAGTGCCGGTTTGAGGTCCAGGATGGATATATAGCATTCAGACATGCCCTCAAATTGCGTAAGAGTAAGGAAGTGGCCATCGACATGAATTGCTCGAGATGAATACTCAAGAAACTCCAAGTTTGCAGGAATACAACCAAATATTGAAGACAGGGCTCGTTTCATCGATATCGAATATGATATCAATACTACAAAGTAGATTCATCCACATCTTGTCGTTTTGCCAGGCCATAATATTGTGTTATATAGCTGTGGCAGGGTCCGTAGCAACATTTCGCATGCTGTGAATCAAGACTCCGTAGTGTTAAAAGAGCTTATATCTTGCGACCAACTGTTTGAAATCACCAATTGCGCCCTCGAGATGCGTTCCTCGGCAGCTGGCCTCCTGAATGCACCGACGCTTGCCACCCCTGCTCGCCACTTCTCCAGGCTATACATTAGCTCCTTCCGATGGACACCTTTTGGAAATGTGATCTTTACGTCAGCTTGAGCGTTCTCGAGGAGCCTCGTGTAAATGTCCCAGTAATGAATCGCATCAATACCTAGGGCAAGGTGGTAGGGGGTCAGTCCGTCCCGGTTGCGCACGTTCACCGCTTCCCTTCCCTTTTCGTGGTGCAAAAGAGTTTCCAATGGCCCTTGGTTGTTCTGGAGGCTTGTAGGATCTTGCTTCTGGACTAGGGAGTGAAGTATGGTGTTGCCATGGTAGTCCGGTATGTCCACGCGAGCACCGTTGTCCAGGAACATGTGTGTCAGCTGACGTTCGGTCCACAGGATAGTGCGACCTTGCGCATCGCGAGCGTTCAGGTCGAAGCCGTTGGATATGAAGTCCTCGAGAAGCAACTCTCTGACTTCCCGAGAGGCCGGCAGTTGAAGATCCTCACGGTTGAACCCATAATCTCTGAGAAACGACCTGCCACCTTGTTTCAAGAATCGGGTCACACACTTCAGACTTGGTGTCTTCTGGGAACGAAGCCATGGTTTCAAGTCCATACCGCAGCATAGCAGCTCGCCTGGTCCAATGGATTCGGTCTCCATCCAGTCAATCACAGCCTCGAGGCACGTAGACGCTCTTGGACTGCAGCCGTGATTCTGTGCCCCGGAGCTATTTACATTCTTCAGCGACAGGCCGATGAGTTCCAGTAGCGGTGTTTGGTCAGAATCCTTCTCATTCAAGAAATCAGCCTTCGAAAGAAGCGGGAGCAATGACTCAAGTTGATGTATGTTGGAAGATCGAGCCTTCTCGATCGCCAGTATTGTGGCCATTGACGACCGTGACCGCTTATCCGTCTTGTTCAAGGTGGAAATGATGAAGTTGAACCAGAAAGAAGTCTGATCTCCCCAACTCAACCGTGAAAGCTTTTGCGCTACAGTCTGGGGGCTTTCCCGTGAAGGCGGCTGTACAATATCGTACCCGGGAACGCACTGCAGTTGCTTGAGTAATTCATAAGTCGAGAGAGCCCAAGAAGAGACCATATTGGCTGGCTTCCCGAACGGTGATTCCATAGCGCCGGAGAAGATAATCTGGCCCGTATAGCGTCCATCACACTGAAAGCAGGAGCGCTTAGATCCACTGCCCACGCAATCTGAGCAGAAGATATGTTTGCACGGCAAAATTCTATAAGTATTAAGCTTGGCCATGCGTCATAACTAGAGATATGGTTGAACTTACGCAACGTTGCACATGTTCGTCTCGCATTCGGGACAAGTGACTATCCGACGCTTGTATCTAACGTCGTCTGAAAGTGTGATGTCAAGGGTACTGATGGACTTCAAATCACGCACAGCAACTTGCGTTGCGTAATTGCCTGTGCTCTCCGCTACCACTGGCACCTGCAACAGACGCCCCTTCTTGCGATAGTCCAGCAGAGATATGGGTGTCCAAGCAGGAATGCCCGTGACAGATTTGAAAGCAGCCGCGTTCAGTAGCTGAATATTCACCAAGCAACTGTTGTTCCAGTCCCAGTTCAACTCTTTGCCTCGGTGAATTTCTTGAAGAAGGCGTGCCCCGGCTCCGAGTGTCATCTCCCAGCCGTCTGGGCTGTATGCTGGCTGCCGATGTGGGGACCATAATTCATCAGTGCTACTGTCTATTAAAGGTGGCGGATGAATATACGGGATGCCAGCTCTGTACCTGGTACAGTATAGACGTATAAAACTAGGTAAGGCGCCTGATTCTGCAACCACTGCTTCCACGGGATGGTATTTAGGTGGCCAGTCGTACATGAAGGGTTTCTTTCCCAGCAATGCGAATTGCCATACTGGAGGACTTGAAAAGACCTTGGATGATTTGCAAACCTCACAATGGCCGCAGTTGATTTTGTGATCGTGAAGGCACTTTGATACAACGAGCCCGAAGTCGAGAAAGGGTGAGCAACTGAAACTCGTATCGAACTTGAGTTCGCCCGACTGGGCATTCTCATTTCCGATAGTGAATTTCAGTTGAAAAGCCACCGAAAGCACAGGCTGTAGGCGAATGCTAGAGGTCTGACCTAGGTACTGTTCGCCATTTCTCTGAAGCAAATCCTGGACTGTAGTGACGCGATGCAGACCAGTCTCATCCATGGGATACATCAAAGGGTTGGACCGGCCGTGGATCTGCCACCTGCTGCGGTCTGCAAATGAGTGCTCAAACTCATTGAGAAGCTTGATATCGGGGTCGAAGTCGGACATGGCAACGACAGAACCAGCTGCCAGCCCCAACTCTGAAGCTGTGGCGGAGCATCGGAACGACCACCCTAAATTCCATAAGTGATCCAAGGCACGGAACTCCACACAATCTCTAAGACGTGGCGCGATTTGTAGCTGAATCCCACCAATTTCTTCCTTGTTAATCAATTGGTATTCAGCCGAGTACTCCCAGCCCAAGGGCATTGCGACAAATTGTCGAGTCTCGTTGTCTGCGGACTTGAAGCCGTCTAGCCTCCTCTGTCTCGGACAGATTATGTAGTCCTGCTCCTGTGGCATGGAATCGGTGACCTGTTGGCCAGAGATGCAGTTGATGGAGCTGGAGTATACTTTGATGGCAAACTGCTGATCATCTTTGTCGTCTAATGCCCGCTTGCTACCCTTGCTGGTGTCCTCGAAGGAAAAGGCAAATGCCTCGCGTTGGAAGATTGGGAAGAACAATCCCCCCTTTTCTTCCATCTCCTTCGGAAGCCTGTCTCCGTACGTCTTAGTGTCGAAAAGAGGAAATGGGCCCAAGAACTCTGAGATACCTTGAGCCTTTTCATACATTAGATGGTGGCTCATCGACCTTTGCCTTGGGTTTTGATCAGACCGCTCCGGAAGACGCAAAGTCCTTTGGAACGTCACGCTTGCAGCACGTTCGGGAACAGAGGTATTCCGTATCGCAATGCTAGATTGCAGCTTTTCGACTACCGGCTGCCCCCCTCCCGTGATATTCAGGCGTCTGCGAATACATTCATTGTAGAAGTGGATCAAACTCTCGTCGCGGTTAATCTTGAGCCCACACTGAACGTCGTAACAACTCAGTCCCTCCGTGACCACCACGAACGAGGTGCTCCAAGGCATGAATGGTGCCAACTTGATTCCGTTTTCCACGATGGCGAGACCGCAGATTCGGTCAATTCCTTGAAGATTGTCAGAGAGACAGCGTTCAGGTGGTTTCAGCGACTCTTTATCGAGTTGGAACATGATATCGTACAATGGTGTGTTTGCAGGTGTGGTGATCTCTCTTGTCGCAGTTCCTTCCTGGGTTGATTGCGGGAGGCCTTCGATGATCAACTTTACGTTCTGCGGCCGGCTAGACGCAATGTCAGATTCGGGATTCAGACGTTCTCCTTTAGTTGATTCGTCAGTTGAGGACGTCTGGCCATCTTGGCCGTCTGGTGTTGCCCATGTTGAGAGCCAGTCATCAAAGGAGGGATGTGCATGCACCACAGATGGTGTGCTTGCGTAGTCGACGTCTGCTCTCATTAAATTGGTGAGCACGCCATCGCCAATGTTCTGGAAAGGCGTGTACACGGGCCGCTCTCTGTCAATGGTGGTTCTGAGTTCCTCGATGGCTCTGAATATCATGTGCAGCATCTTGCTCTGGCTCTCGCCGGTGCAGTTTCTATTCGCCATGATCAACCAGTGTTCGCGCCACACAATGAAGTAACTGTGATGGCTCAAAGGAGCCTCGTCGCAAACGTTGGGTGAAACTCACTGCATTGCGATCAACAGCGTTGTCTTCTGCCCTTCCAACATACCCTGCAGCGTTGAGATATCCCTCAAGACCTCCGGACGCGCAATCCTCTCTCTCATGCTCTGCCACGAATAACCCTTTATTTCCAGTTTCTGGAACTGCATCTCGATGTTCCTCAGTGTTCGCGCACAAGACTCGATAGGCTGCCTCAGAGCTTCCTCTCCAGGATGATTGAACGCTTGGTGCTCGAGACTCCTGTTGATTCGGATCAGTGCCGAATCAAGAGTCTCGACGTTTCCCCGTATTGAAGCAGCGGCTTTCTCGTTGTATCGATCCGACAACGTCTTGGCCAGTTTCGCAGTGGAGGCGGCAAGAGTAACGAGGCCCGCGACACTGGCGGCGATGGAGAGAGGATCTGCCATGGCTTGTTGTCTGCGATGTCCACTCTGTGCCTGCCCATTCCCGACGATCCAGATTACAAGAGGAAGCGGGGGGTTTATGAGCAATCAGGCAGACCGTGAAGCTGATGGCTGATCTGCACAGCCGCTTTGAGTGGCATGGTGTGGCACCCCTAGGCACCCTTCTTGGAGGGGTCAGAAGATGCTCAATGATTTCCGGCGCGGTGCGCCAATCGCAATGGTCTTCAGTTACTGAGCTGAACTGCATTGCAGTAGTGTCAGGCTTCTTTCACGGCCGGCCTATCGCAGGCGACCTGTGCCTCATGCAGCCACACGCAGGGAACACTTAAGATAGACATCTCGCCGGCTAGTCTTCGTGTCTTGAGGGCCTCAGCTAGGCTTTTGAGCAGGGGCCTGGCCGTCGTCACTGAAGCATACGCCTCTAGCAGCAATTCTCTCGTGCGTTGGCTTCAAGTAGGGAGTCGATGAAAACACCATTGAGTAGTACTGATGTCTTGAAACATAACCCGGCAATTAATCCACTCGTCACACGAGGGTTTTCTACAACCATAAACAAGTAAGCGTTGATTTATTCCCTATGACAGCTCAGTCGTCAATGCCACCCCATTCGCCGCCATCGCTATCACCGCCTCTCCTAGGCTGCTTCGCCTCCTTCTTCCTCTGCTTGCTCGCCGCAGCGGCACCTTTCTTGTTATGCTCCTTCTTCCTCTCCCACTTGCTCTCTGTCGAGATCATAGCAGCACCATGGCTTCGTCTAGCCTCAACGCCCTTCTCCCTCAACTTCTTCTTATCCGCCTGGCTGACATTCGGCAGGGCATCGAGGAGCCACTTCTGCACGTTGGCCTCCTCGCCCGTCTTGCCAGCCTGCTTCTCGCTCATGGCAATGACGTTGGCGACGGTCTTGACAAAGGGGATATCGTCCGTCGTGTAGAAGGTCACGGCGACGCCGCCCTCGCGACCAGCTCTGCCGGTACGGCCCGCGCGATGGACATACGCGGCGCTGGAGCCGGGGACATCGTAGTTCACTACGCCGTTGACGCCGGCGAAATCGACGCCGCGGGCGAGGACGTCTGTAGTGATAAGGATCCATACCTCACCGGCGCGGAAGCGGCGCATTATTCCTGCGCGAGCTTTGTCGGTCAGACCGCTGTGCAGAGCGGCGATTCTGGTGGAGCCGCCCGCAGCAAGGGGGATGTCGTATTTGAGTTCCTCTGCGAGGGCGGTAGCACGCTCGATGGTTTGAGTAAAGACAAGGAATGGGGGCCGGAGAGGCGGGCCGGAGTCGTCGCCTGCTGTTGGGTGAAGGAGCTGGCGGAGGCCGAGGAGCTTTCCCTTCTCTGTTGCGGTGTAGACCAACTTGTGCGTTACGTTTGGAACCGCGGTGTCCTTTAATCCGACCACAAGACGGAGCAAGGGTCTGTTCGATGCTCTCTCGGCTTGCATCTCCTTGACGAGAGTCTCGATATTGGATCCGAAGGTTGCCGACCAGAAGGTAATCTTCAAGTCAGGATTTGAGCAAGCAGTCCATATGGTCATGGTCTGCTCACGGAAGAGTGGGTCCAGGAGGACATCCGCCTCGTCGAGGATCAGCGACTTGACTGTTGGTAGCACACGCTGGGTCTTTGACGATCCCGACGAGAGGAAGTTGACTAGCAGTGTGGGCGTGGTGACAAGAATGTCGGCCTTTGTGACATGCTTGGAGCTGGCAGGCTCCGTCTCACTGTCCTCGTCGTCGTCTTCGGAGCCCTCATCCTGCGACTCGCCATCCTCGCTCTCAGAGATCTCGTCCTCCTCGGAAGCTATCCGCATGCCCTTCTTCATACCCACAACTTTGATGCCAGAGCCTTGGGCAAGCTTGCGCCCCTCGTTGACGATCTGGAAAACAAGCTCTCGCGTCGGCGCAACGACGATCGCAGAGAGTTCGTGGTCATCCTGTTCTCCGCCGGCAGACGCCCTCTTCTGCATGATCGAGTTGATCGCAGGGATCAAGAAGCTGATCGTCTTTCCGCTACCCGTCGGCGCGACGGCCAAGAAGTCGACTCCGTGCGACACATCTCCCAACTCCTCCTTATTCGTGACCTTCTTGAGCGCAAGCTCAGGCTGTAGAAGCAGCGGCAGACTGCCCAGCTGTACCTCCGTGGGAACCTTGTAACCCTGGTGCGCCAGGTTGTCCGCCAGCAGAGACGAGATGTTGAAGTTCGTCCTCAGCTCGCGGAACGAGGTCAGAGGTTGCGGGTGTAGCTGGTTCGTCTCCTTCTCGACCTCAACAGCAACCTTCTTCTTTTTCTTCGTGCTCTTGGTGACCTTGGACTGGTTCTTGTGGCGCTCGGAGAGGAGGGTGAGCTTCAATCGGTGGGAGCGGAGGATCTGTCGGCACTCGTCTTCGGGGAGGAGCTTCGGCTTGACCTTGGGCGCTTCCGCCTTGTCCGTCTCCTGAGAAGATGTCTCCTTCGCCTCGGCGGCCTGCTTGGAGGGGTCGGGCTTGGGGGCAAAGAAGTCGACCTCGGGCAGCTGCTCCTCTTCCTTCTCCTCGACCTCATCCTTGGTGCGCTTCCTCTTGTGACCCCGCCCGGAGGGGACTTCGTCGTGGAAAAGCTGGGGGTTCGGTCGGTTGCCGGCAGACGGCAGGTTCGCCGTCGCATTGCTCGCGGGTTTGGCGCCCTTGGAGGGCTGCTTGATGCCGCGCGACAGCACTTTGAGGATATCCATGATTGAGGGTGCAGATTGCAGACGAAAATGGCCAGCGTCTTTGTCGCAGCTGCAGTTGACTTGGAAATTTTAAAGTGGAGACACGGACTGTGCCCGCATAGTACATTAACTGTGCGGCGCATCGGAGCCGACTTACCTAATCCCGCCTCTGCTCATGACCTTTGAGAGGACGGTTCACCTCTGAATTCTCACGTTAAATCTAAAACATAATGTTGATGTTGTTTTGAATCTTTGCTGCCCATTTGATCTTGCAACTCGTGTGGAAGCTTGTGGCTGAAACTATGAGACTGCGATCAGGTGCTTAGTCCTGCCCCTGACAAGGTAGCGGCGCAGCTTCATTGTTGTCTTCTTCAACCACCAAATCCTCAATGTGGCTCATTCTGCAAATTCTTATGCGAATCCATTGCGATCGAAATGAGAGTAATCGACACGGAAACGCTCAAACTTGTTGAATTTCATGATCTACCACCAGACCCATATGTGACACTTTCACACACATGGGGCGAGGATGAAGTCACATTCCAGGATATGACTGCACTGAGCAATGAGGAAACCAGCTTGCGAAACAGAAGTATTATCGAATCCAAGCATGGTTTTGAGAAGATCAAGTCGACTTGCGCGAAGGCGAAGAACGACGGATTCTCTTGGGCATGGGCCGACACATGCTGGTAAAACTCCAACCCCTCACCAACAACTCATCCCGCTGACACGGCGAGTACAGCATCGACAAAACGAGTAGCGCGGAGCTTTCCGAGTCTATCAACTCCATGTTCCGCTGGTACAGGGGGTCTGCAATATGTTACGCGTATCTGGCCGACATACCCACAGCCGACCAAGTTGTTGATATCTGGAACGAAGACAAGTTTGACCCCGCAGGACTCTTCAGCAATTGCCGGTGGTTCACTCGAGGCTGGACACTCCAGGAACTCCTGGCTCCTGACGTGGTCGAATTCTACGCCGCAGACTGGAACGAGATTGGCACCAAATCGTCCCTTGCGGCGCGCATCGCGGATATCACAAAAATCGACATTGACGTTCTGGAAGGGCACAAGTCTATCCACAGGCGCTGCGCGGCAGAGCGATTATCGTGGGCTGCCTCAAGACAAACGACTCGTGCGGAAGACGTGGCGTATTCGCTGCTCGGTATCATGGACGTGAACATGCCCTTGCTATACGGAGAGGGCAAGCGCGCTTTTATTCGACTGCAGGAAGCCATGTTGAAGGAAAGAGAGGACTACTCTCTTCTGCTTCCAAACCTTGCGATTCAACTTACTTCGAGACTCAAGGAATACGGCCCGCTTCGTAGCGATACTGTCGTCTCACTCGGGCCAGACTCGGAACGGTCACCGCCGCTGGCAGAGGATCCAAGCAATTTCTTCGTGGAGGACCCGAATATCTGGTCCTATGCGATGATCAATAACTGGTCAGCTGCAGAATCCGCCATGGGCATCGAGAACCATCACGCGCCGTATCTCACCCCAAGAGGCCTGCAAATCTGTCTACCGCCAGCTGTGGATGGTTCTACCCGGGTCATGTCCAAGCGTTTCGATACTTACTGCAGAACGATGAACTTCTGCATCGTAATAGGACTAAGCGGTAGTCCAGTCGGGAGGAACTATGTCCGCACGCGCGCGTTTGACCTGGTTCCACGCGACGGAGTAACGAGACGGGAAAAGTTCGTCCACAGGTTTCAGAGCATTTGCATTATCCATCTGTCTAAAAGAAATCTTACACGCCGGAGTACTCACAGCGCAATCACTGGACCACAATACGCCTCGCTCTGGTGGACGATCGACACTGCCTCTCTCTCACCGATTATGGACGTGGAGTGGTTGGAGAAGCCATATGACGCCTTGGCCATTGGACCCGAACTCTGGCACAGGGTTCTTGCTCTGGGATGGTGCACGCGGGCTCCGGGTGAGACAGAACCTTTTCTGCTCGCTGTGGGAGACCATTGGGCGGCGGTATTGTATGAGAGTGAGTGTAGGAGAAAGGGCATCAAGATACGCGCGCTTCAAAGCTCTGGTGGGTCTAGTCTAGAGGCTATGCTGGTTGCTCTGCGTGGGAAAGTGTCCAGGAGAGGTCCTGATAGAGTCTGTGTTCGTCTGCGGGAACTGGCAGTTGGCGTTTCGTACAGGAAAATAGGAACAGACGAAGACTACAATACTCTCACACTGACTGCACATCCAAGAGCGGGCAGGACCGAGAACAGAACGTAGAAAACATACCATACACAAAAGAAAGTCGTCACACTCAGACCTTTTAAGCCGGTTTCCAGCTGGCACATATGCACTGCACTGCCATTTCGTATCAGAAAAGATGTTCATGCTATGGGTTTCGGCTGTCGAGATGAAGACTCGGTTTGTATCAAGAAGATAAGGGTATCTTTTTTCTTAGATTCTTGGGAGGCTACTATTTATACATATCTATATCCTTTTTAATATTCTTACAAAGTCGCCGTGACATCCTCGCAGCGCCCACACAGCTCGTCCTCCTTGGGCGCAATGTACCGCCAGCAGCGGGGACACTTGTGGTCCTTGGGCGACAGGACGGTAGCATGCACCAGCGCCTGAGGCTTACCCGGTATGGCAGACTCCACGGCGTATTTCCATTCGCTGGCCTCGGGGACGGGCGTACCAACATCGACGGAGGACACGACGAACATGGCCTCGAGCTCGTGCTTATACTTCTCCAGGACGCCGAGGATGGCGGGGTCCTCGCTGTTGAGGATGACGGAGGACTGTAGCGCCGAGCCAAGGACCTTGGCGGAGCGGCCGAGTTCCTGAGCAGCTTTAATGGCGGAGTTGGCGGTCAGGAGGACGGGGACGTCCTTGCGGAGGGAGGCTTCGTTGATGACGGAAGAGGGGATGGCGTGGACCGGGGCGTCGTAGGGAGTTTGCAGGGGATGGGCGAGGGGGAGCATCCATTCGGGGCGATGGTCCCAGGCTTCTTCGACGAGGAGGGGGGTCATGGGGGAGAGCATACGGAGGAAGCCGTGGAAGATGGGCTCCAGGACACCGCCGCCGTCACCGCAGTAGAGACGGTCCTTCATGGCCTCGAGGTAGAATGCGGATAGGTCGTTGGAGACCCAGCGATTGATGGCGCTGAAGGCTCTGTAGAATTCGTGTGATGCGTAAGCCTTTTGGACTTCTTCCATCACGTCAGCCAGTTGGACGAGGGCGATGTGGTCCAGGGTCGTCGTGGGTGCGGTGCGAGCGGACTCGTGCATCGAGCCGAGCAGCATCTTGATGATGGTACGATACTTCACCAGTTGGATGTGGACTGATTTGAGAACATTCTGGCCAATGGCGACGTCCTTGGTATACTCGGAGCTGGCGGCCCAGAGGCGGATGGCATCAGGGCCAAGGGCCTCGTAGGTCGGACCAGCGCCGGCGACCTTGGCCTTGCCTCGGAGCTTGAGAGGCGGCAGCAGTGTGCCGTCCATGATCTCGCCAGGGGTGATGGTGTTGCCCAGGGACTTGGACATCTTCTTGCCCTTTGCGTCCAGAGTGAAACCGTGAGTGATGAGGGTCTTGAAAGGCGACTTGGGCTGCGTTTCGCCCTCGGCTCTTTGGGCCGCAACGTAGGACAAGAGGCTTGACTGGAACCAACCGCGATGCTGGTCAGAGCCTTCTAGGTGGACGTCAGCCTGGCCACCGCTTTCGGTCCAGCTGCTGCCGCTGTCGAACCACACGTCCATGGTGTCAGTACCGCGACGGTAACGACCTTGCAGAGAGGGGGCGACCCAGGCGGGCTCATCAGGGGCGTCGGAGAACCAGGCGTCAATGCCGCGCTTCTGGATGACGGAGATGATGTGGTCGACGGACTCTTCCGTAACCACAGCATCGCCATTGCCATCATACAGGGCGGGGATGGGAACTCCCCAGGCACGCTGGCGCGAGATGCACCATTCGCTACGGCCCACAACAAAACTCTCAAGGCGGTTTCTTCCAGAGGCGGGAACAAACTTGACATCCTTTAGTGCGTTGATGGCATCGTCCTTGATGCTGTCCACATCAGCGAACCATTGTGCGGTGGACCTCATGACTACGGGCTGCTTCGTCCGCCAGTCGTAGGGGTACTTGTGTTTATATTTGACAGCTTGCAAGACGTCGTCCTCGATGAGGGCGAGAACAGCCTTGCTGCCACCCTTGAGGATCGAAGAGGATTGGGTCAACTTTTCGGGTGCATCGGGGAAAGCCTCGCTGGTGAAGTTTCCTTCGTCATCAATGGGTGCGAAGGCGTCGATTCCGAGCGCGGCGCAAGCTTCGTAATCCTCGAAACCGTGACCAGGAGCAATATGAACAAGACCGGTACCAGATTCGGCAGATACAAAGTCTGCGTGGATGATGGGCTGGGGAGTCGACTGAACGCCCTGAAGCCTGTTGTGGTATTTCAATCCTCTCAGCTCGGAGCCCTTGATGGAAGACACGATGACCTCTGGTTCGGCGTCAATGAAGAGGGCCTTGACGGCCTCAAGACGAGTGACAGCAGTGAGGTATGCGCTTCCATTGACAGCGATGACGGCGTATTCCAGATCGTCGTGTATGGCGATGGCCTTGTTTGCGGGGAGTGTCCAGGGGGTGGTAGTCCAGATGATGGCGTAGAGCTGACCAGAGAAACCGGGGAGCACAGGGCCGTCGATGATGGGGTATCTGATGTACGCAGCCGTCGACACATGGTTCTCGTTGTACTCCAGCTCGGCCTCGGCGAGCGCGGTTCTCGAGGACGGAGACCAGTAGACGGGCTTGTTTTTGCGGTAGATGAGGCCTCGGCGGACCATCTGCTGGAATAGGCGCAACTGCCTGATCTCAAAGTCGGGGTCCATGGTCGTCCAGCGCGCGTCCCAATCGCCCATGACAGCATATGATCGGAAACCCTCCATCTGTTCCAGAACGGTCTTGGAAGCGAGCTGCCTTGCAGCCTTTCGAATCTCGACGGCGGTCATGTCCTTGCCGCCAGAGGAGCCGACGGCTTTCAATTCGATCGGGAGACCATGGCAATCCCAGCCTGGTCTGTATCGCACACGGTAACCTGGGTATAGGGAGTCAGCTGCCGAAGCATTGGTGCCGCAAGGCCATGGTACCAACCTTGCTGGACCTTTACTCTGGAGATCATGTCCTTGAGGACTTTGTTCAATGCATGGCCAACGTGGAGGCTACCATTCGCGTATGGGGGCCCATCGTGAAGCGTAAATCCCGGTCGGGAGTCATTGGCCGACTGCCATTTGTAGAAATCATCGGCGCATCGGCGCAGGTAGTCGGCGCGGAACTGCGGGAGCGGGCGAGGTCTGGAACGGGCCGGGTTAGCTGAGGCCGGAGCGGAGGGCGGGGGTCAGGTTCTTACGGGAAGGTGGACTTGGGCAACCTCAGCGTCGATGCCCATGACTTTGACATGATCTGCTCGTGGGCATCACCGCGGGACGGGTGTGTGGGAGGTGGACTAGCCGCTGTGACGATGCGCTCTATGGGATGCTGTCGATGTTGCCCTTCATCACCGACGAATTGACGCGATCCAATACATCGACTGAGAAAAGATTAAGTGGGGCAAGCCGCCTGCACCGCACCGAGGTCGCAGAAGCAATGGCGCAGGTAGCACCGCTGCAAGGCTGACAGTGCACTGTAAAGTTGCATGCTTGAGAGCCGCCAACACTGAGTTGCGTGAGGTACCTGCCGGAACTGAGCAAGTACCACTCCCATCCACCACTGCAACTGCATGGAGGCAAACCCGGGGAAGGTACCTCCCTCGGCACGGTGGGGGCCTTTCTCACATCACATCAACAGCGTCACTCACTCATTGACTGACTTCCTTCCCTCCAAACCACGTCGCATTCAACGCTCGACCTTCCTTTCCTGCTCATCTCAACTACCTCCTCTTGCGGTCATCTAGGTTTTCATCAGCTCCTCGCTTGACTGACTTTTGCCTACAACGTTGCCAGCCTCCTCCATCTTCTCAGCGAAGCACGTGGTCGTCCTGGACACACGCAGCTGAGCCTTTGAAGATTCCCTGCGACCGCAACACCATCCAGCACGACCTAATTCGGACCTGAATAATGGCACCCCTTCGCCGATATCTCCGGATCACAAAGTATTCGGTGCTTGAATGCCGCATCTATCTCGACAACCCGGCCCTGGCACAGAGCTGGCTGCTCAACCCACGGAATCCCATCCTGCCTAAGGTCATTGAGAGTGTCCGCCCCCTGGTATTACCAAAACTCCGCGAGGAAAAGGAACGCGAGAGATCCAAAAAGAAGAGCTCCAAGAAGAAGACCATCAAAGATGTCGTCGTTCAAGGTTTGCCACCCTGTTTCGCAGCCTTGCACGCTGCCATTCCCCATCCAAGCACTTCTCCAACGTCGTAATCAGTCTGGTCTGGACCACTTCCACCTTGTACGGTAGGAAATCATGGTTTGTCTGAACATTAAACTGACCGCTGCATTGACCAGATGAGTTTGAGGTCTCCATGTTCTTGACTGAGACCGCCACCCGTCATTCGCTGCTCACTAAGCACAAGCATTTCCGCGACAAGGCACAGAGCAAGTTGAAGTCCAACTCAAATAAGCTCATAAACGAAACCAATGACACGCCCATTGACCTGGACGCCGAATCCGCCGATACTACGGTGCACATTCGGCACGAAAGTGAGTCCGAAGAAGAGCCCGCCGGTCTTTCCCGTATCCCCGCGGTTGATGAAACAACACGGCCTCGGCGCTTCAAGAGACAGCGCGGGGCAGCTCGTGATCAAGACGACGATCAGGACTTTGCTTCGGACGACGACGTTGGCGGTGAGGCCTCGGCAATTGAGATAGACTCGGACGACGACGTTCCCCGCCCGTCCAAGCGCCTGAAGAAACAGACTACCGGGTCTGGCGATGACCAGGAAGACGATGACAAGAAGAAGATGGCCATGGATGTCTCGTATGAGGGGTTTGCTATCTACGGTCGTGTCCTGTGCCTCGTCGTCAAGAAACGCCAAGGTCTGAGGCTG